GAAGCAATCACTCAATGCAATCACTCAATGTAAATGTAGTTCTAAGCTAAACCTTATATATCTCTTGAAAAATAAAAAATAGTTTCTTCAATTGCATTTATACTTTATTTTTTTACTTTACAACGTTCTCTTAAATTTAAACTTGCTGGAGTTTTGTAATTTTTGCGCCTTTTATCCGTACCGCATTGAAGGTCACAATGCCGGATGATGCTTAAAAAACTGCTTGACGGTTGAAATCGCTTGAAATAACTCGCTAAATTGAAATTTACCCTAAGACATCGAAATCTCGAGTTATGTTTTTCCTTAATTTATCTTGAAATAAGCTCAATCGTCAACATCCGATCGTATTTCTCTCTTTGATAAGATAAAATTTTTAATTTTCTTGTCATCGTTTTCAATGCCTTCCATTATTGCGCTTCGCTTGCAGGATTACGTTTTCACGCACTTTCTTGTAATGTGTAGTGTTAAGAAATTTGTTTTTCTTCTCTATATAGCTGAGCAAGTAATGCTTCCAAAAAATTCTATTCAAGATTCATTGGAAAGTTTTGTGAATAATAATAATATTGAAGCTGTATAGCTTCTTAAGTAATAATTAGATGTTTAAGGGCAATAATTCACAAAATCACATTTTGATTATTAGGTGTTTAAATTTCCCCGGGATTGTTGGATGAATTGACAAAAGCTATATTAACACAAATCGACCGATTTCGCCTATCGTGAATATTTTTACTTTCTTTAAATTCCGTTTTTCTAAACTCCCTCCGAATCACTCCACGAGGACCGCACATTCCTCCGCCTCGTTTGCATAAGCAAACTTTTCACTATTTTATTAATGAAAATACTTTTCGAATGTATGTATACTATTTTTTGTACTGTTGTGCAGCGATGTATTATTTTTGTTGCAATTACAGATGCAATAGACGTCTTGGCAATTACCCATATTTGTAGATTTAAAGATGTACGAAATTAAACCATACCAATACTCATAAGATCTAAACTGATTAATCTTCCGACGATTGTTATTTCGTGAGTCTAAAGCCATTGACAAACTGCCAGCTAATAAACTCTCAGCTGATTGGTTTAATTTAGGTGCATTGCAAATACCAGTTACAGAACACACCAATATCACTGTATAGCACCATAATGTATATAACCTTCACGAACATTAAAATCTTCCATTTCTGATTCATTATCGTCCAGTATATGAATGGTAAAGGCTGCCCATTGCGTCGAAGACGCATGAAAATGACCATTTTCAACATGCAGGTAACGTGTGGATACCGTTTGTGAGCGTAAACGATTAAATAGAGCCACATTTGTACGGCTAGCTATACATAAGTCAGCACTTTTTAATGACTGTTTCTTTTTCGAAGATTTCGAAATCACCTTAATGCGCTTTGAATTGAAAACTCCAATATCGTGACCGTTACCATAAAACATTTTTAACTATAACATAAAATGGTTTCGCTTATCTGAGTCCGAAATGAATGACGTGCCGGTCGAGTGCAACCTGGCATTTATTATAATCTGTTTACGAGGTTAGTAGAGAAAAAACGATCAAGCAAGAAAAATCAAATAACATTTCACATTTTGTTAGAGCTCGTGAACAGCAAATGTTGGATGAACCCATTCCCGAAATTAGGCGCAGCAGACTGGAAACAGTTATTTTAAATTTGAAGCTACTTCATGTAAGTGATCTGTATGATGTCTTGAAGTCTCTAATTAGAGCAACCGAGCCAATGGCCATACAAAATGGGATTAATCTGCTCAAAAGATACTTTGTATGTTTTGATTACGGTTTTATTTAATAATACCTTCGCTTGCCACGCAGGATTGGAGCTTTGGATTATCATCATGATTTGACACCTTTGGGAGTGCACTTAGCTCGCCTGCCTTTAGATCCCCAAATAGGTAAAATGATTCTGATGGCTGGCTTATTCCGTTGCGCAGACCCGATAACTTCTACTGCTGCATGGATATCATTTAAGAGCCCCTTTTATACGCCTTTAGGTTTCGAGCAGACCGTTGACCGCGTAAAGCGCGAGTTATCCGATAGAATCAGAAGCGATCATTTGCTTACACATAAAGCTTTAAGGGGATTTCGTGAGGCTCGCGAGAGTGGTCGCCTTTCAGAATATTGTTATCGGAAATTCTTAAGCAATTCCATTCTTACGCAATTGGAGAACATGAAAAAACAGTTTACCGATCATCTGAGACTGGCGAGGTAACACAACACACAATGATGATAAATTTATGAAAAATCATATAATATAACAAAAAATTAAATAAAATCATATAACAGGGATCTGATGCAAATCGAAATATGTCCGCCTGCCTGGTTATATGAATTTTTGATTAGCATGTACAGGAAGCATTGTTTTAACAAAATTTTCAAGTCCTCAATTTCACCAACATTTCAAACGTTCTTAATGCAAATTATTTTTCACGAAAATATTTTTGTCGTGTTTAATTATGTTGGCTATATGACATCATTTCATCATTTAAGCCTAGATCAAAGACTGTTTATGTATATATTTCTGAAGAAAATAAAGGGTGAGAAGTGTCACCGAGCTAATTGAGTAACTTTTGAGTTTTAATCGTAACTATGGATTAACTTATCCTTATTTAGAGGGCAACAAATTTGTTATATTATATGGTTTATGTCAACATTAAGATCAACGATTTTACTTTAACACCCAAAAACAGTTTTACAGAATCTGCGGATGTAACGGCTGCATCTTTGAATGTTAATTTTAATAATTTGCCCTTGTTAAGAGCCATAATCGCTTCCGGCATCGAAAGTACCTCATATTTCCTTACTTGAAAAATTTTGCGATGTCAAGTTTAAAATTTAAAAATTAAAAAAATTCTCTCGAAATAACCCGTGGGAGCTTTACTTTTCAACTACTGATGAATGCCACAAATGCAACTGATACTCTTTGATTGGCAATGTCTGCTCACTTTTTCGTATTTTTTCAAGAACCTTCTTACTGTCTTCTGGGAACATTGTTCAAAATACCGTCGAAGAAAGCAAAGTCAAAATTATTCGTATCTTTACGGCTTTGTAGTTGCATCGCTTCAAATGTCGTTGGGCCCAAACACGCCGCTGTATTAAATTTCAACAAAACACCTCCAAAAGTAGCACCTTGACAACACCTTGACGCTCACTTTAAAATTAAAATATAGGACTGCTACGTTTGCATATACAAGCATGCGCAATGGGCGTATATAGATTAAACAGACAGACAAGCTAAGATCGATTCAGAAAGTGATTCTACAACGATCGGTATAATAAAACGTGGATCTTCTCCTTCTAAGTGTTGTATTCACCTGCAACAAAGTTTATATGCCTTTTTCCCTTCCTTATCAACTTCTTCCGCTTAAAAGCGATAATCAATTGCCGCTCGCAGCGTATAATTTTTGTTTTTGTATCTATCAGCGAAGATGAGGGGTATATTCAATTTTTCAAAACGTTTCGGAAGGAAGCTTCAGAGATATATGTATTCTTGATCAGCGTGAAATCTTGAGTCGCTGTAAGTATATCTGGTTGTCCGTTAGAAATATTCTTCTGGCTGCAAAAATGAAACGATTACCTTTAAATTTGGCAAAACATTGGAAACATTGGAAATTTTGGCGCGCAGGTTGGTATTTAAAATGACAAATGTAGAAAAAATTGACCGCATATTCTTTGGGCGATACTGTAGCACCTGTATAAAAATGGGAAAAATTGACCACGCCTACTCATTATTATAGTGTATCAAAATATAAATTCTTTTGAAAATCTTTATAAGGCGCAAAAGAAAGCTTCAAAAAATCTCATAAAGTATATAAATTCTTGGCATGAGTCTATTAATGTCCGTCCGTTCGTCTGTTTGTCTGCGCAACTAAATTTGTGGTAAACCATCTCCCGTTAACGAAAATGAAGATATTACCTATAAATTTGCAAAAGGATCTGGAAATCACTTAAACCTTTCCAAGAACTCGCCTACAACGTCCACAACGCCCATCGGACAAACGCTTTTATTTTGAAAATAGAAAAAATCAGCCGAGCCCAACCGATATTATATAGAGTACGAAAAGGTAATTCTTTTACTTCTTTTGTTTATATTTAAATAAGGGTAATGGGTGTAAAAGATTCGGTCACTACCGAATAAGGGCTTCTTACTTGCCTTTACTCATTTAGTATCAAAATTGCAGAGCTTTAACATGAATAGTTTCTTATTGTCTCGAAGCGAGAAGCGGCTTAACCGTAGACTACCTTTTTCAATATTTTCTCAGATATGACCAAATTCGGGCTCGCTCAGTTAATTACTCTCAGATGTTAACTAGACGGTCGAGTTACGAATAATTATTAAAACAAATAGGCTGGAATATGTAAATATGGTTTTTAATTTGTTTTCCTATATAACAAAATACTACTAAGTTAAAGTTACTATATTTATTAAAAAATAATACAAATATTAAATATTCTACTAATATACTATATACTAAGTAATTATTACTAAAATTGTGATCATGAAAGAAAATTAATTGTTGTAATAAGATAAGTATAGTGTAATAATATATCTATATATATGTAAAATTAAATAAATATTTTTCGAATATCAATTCAAATGAAAGAAAAAAGTTTGTTTGTTAAAAAACATATTTGCTTTATTTCATTGTTATTGTTATGAAGACTTAAGACAGTCTTGAAGCATCAGCATCAGCAGCTACGAGCATCGGCTATATTGAAAAATCTGCCGCATTTGAGATTTTAACTCACCTACATTGAGTTATTAGTTCAGACACTTGGCCTACTCGGAAAATGAAAGGAGTAAACGTACAGAGGGCATAGAAAGATTCAAATATATTTTTGTTTATCTGTAAATTATGTTAAAAAAAAAATATTGTTTGTTACACATTGTCATAACATTTTGCAAAAAAAAAACATTCTTATCATAAGTTCAGTCCAGCCATGGGCTTGCCAAGTATTTCCACGTCTAAAGGGACCTGAACATCAAAGTAGAATTTATTTCATAAAAGTGGCAACTAGTTCTAATACCCGCGTTGTCATCATCATATTGAAAGGTGCAGTTTTCGAATTAACCGTTTTGCCTCATTGACAGTATATTTGATGAATAAAATTGCACCGTGAATTCGAGATCTCCGACTTTATTCATTTCAAAAGACGACAAAGCAACCTGCTACTCACACATTAGGTGGCAGTCCATGATTTGGGTTTCATATATCATATATATTCTATATATATATAGATATGTATTGATTACGTAAATCTCTTTTGATTATTAAGAGCAGAGCTGCTTTGCTGTCCGAAGAAACAATAAATTTGCTAGGACCATTTAAAAATTTACATAATAAAAATCGAAATGTTCCTCCAGAGACATTTTACTATCATTTAAATTCTTTCGGTTTTTTTTTTAATTAAATTTTTTATTAAAAATTTAATGAATATGTATGCTTTTCACATGTATGTTTTAAAACATTATAACATGAAATAATCACAATGATAAAGTTTTTAACTATTTTTTTTTTCAACTTTTTTTTTAAAAATAATTTTCATTTGTTTTATACCTTCCACCGAAATATTTAGAGAAAGTTAGTTTTTCCATTAGGTTCATAAATTCCGAAAATGAGTGTCAAATCAATGTAAGGTGATTGCGAGACGATTTAGCCAAATTCACTTTATGATTTATTGAAATTTTGAAAACTTTGTAGATTTGTAATTACTTCATATTCACGGATCAAGTTGCAAAGTGCACGCATTTTCCAGCGAATGCGTACGTCGCGATTGCCAGGTGCAAAAAAGCAAGGAACTACAATTTTATGTCATTATTTATTTTAATAATTCATTCTTACACGCCCACACAAACAAACAAACAAACAAAACCGCTATAATTCATTTTTGCTTGAGGTGGTCGGCATCCGAAAACCGCTTAAAAACGAATTTAACTTTATTACTTATTATATCCTCAGCGGGCAACGTAACATTTCTAGAATTCTTCGCGTTCACAATATCTTTGCCCTGTTTATTTTTAGTATTCCTCTCAGGGTGATCGTGATAGCTGCAGGATATAAAGTTAATTTTGTATTATCTTTTGTATTCAAACAAGACGTGAAACTTACGCAAGTAATGTTCCCATTTCACCACGTAATAGAGCGACTAGCAATGGCGTACTCAAACAAGTTGGTACCAAAAGCAATCTTGCTGGCTGAACCTTTTCAAACACAATACGATGGATAATTGTAGCCGTTAAACCTATAAAGTAGGCTATCAAAGTGGAATGGAAATAGATATCACTTTTGCGGTCAGTGCTATGGTCGAAACTCAGTAATAGGGCTATAAACATATGTCTAGACATTGTACAACAACAGCATTAACTTAGCCTGTGACTGCCTTTACACTTATAAATAAATTGGCGAACATTACTAAATTCGACGACGAATCAATATAGCAAAGATTCGACCTCTAAGTAAGCGTCATGTAAACAATAATTAACATAATTTCTATGTGGTTTAAACTATACTGCAGGTAGTAAATTAGAACTTTGCTTCTAAATGAATGGATTCCCTTTACAATCTGAATATAAAGCAGAGACGCATTTCTACTTTCGATGGTCCCAAAAGGCATTCTGTATATATATAGGCATTGTTTGGGTTGCTGAGTGGTGCTTTACCAAAACTCACTTCGGAGCAGCATGAATTAGTTAGTAAGGCGAAAAAATATGCTATGGAACAAAGCATAAAGATGGTTCTAATGAAACAAACACTCGCTCATCAACAGAAATGTTGTTCTGTAATGCTAATATAGGAAATGCTGGTGCGCTACGTCAAGTAAATTTTCAACGTACATCTTATAATTTAATTGGGTGACATCGCTTAGAAACTTTGAAAAATATTCTCTATGATTCTAATGGTTTAGTAGATAATCCCGACAAGACTTTTTCTTTTCGAAATAAACTTAGAAATCATATTCTTGATGTGTATAGAAAAATTCAAAACTAAGTGAAAAAAAAATTGTGAAGAAATGTGTGTCCCGAAATATCTTCGAAGAATCGAAACTTATAGACGAAAATATGATAAATTATCGTTTTTTTCGGGGTTGTTTCAGTTCCTCATTTATGGTGGACGTGTTGCAATCATTTTTTAACGTTGAATTCCTAACTTCTAACTTCTTATGGCAAGTCGACGAAAATAGCAAATGAAGATAATCCTTTTGATAGAAATAAGTTATGCCAAAGGTTTGTTCTTCTAGAGTTGATAAAATTATTTAATTAATCAACTTCTTAGTTGAGAGTTGTCTGCTGCTTGTACATCATATGCTACAAGTTACAGGTTGATCTTATTTGGTTGGGATTGGGCAAATGTAAGACCTGTTTTTAGGTAAATTTGTCTGACCCATCAAAGCTAGCCGAAGGAACAGTTAACAATCAAGATAATTAAATTACTTTTGGCCTTAAAATTCATTTTTCATTTTTTAATTAATAACATTAATTAATAAATAAAAATAAGACTATTTTCCCAGAAAATATTTTTTTTAAATATGGATTCAAACGAACAACGATTAAGTTTGTATGTGCAGGTCTTCTTCTTGTTGCTCTGCGAAAATTTGTTTTGCTAGCAAGCGTTCTGCAGTAGATCCGAGTAAACGACAAATGATGCTGAAAACTATTAATTTAATATTTTGTCGACACATATTGATATTGTTGCAGAAGCGAAATGATGAATGCCATATATAAATGAATATGAGTAAATTGCAATATGTCTTCTTTTCCTTTCGTTACAGGATATATCTATACTTATACCAGAACACTCGCGCTATATAACAAATTTCAGTTAAAGTTTTTTTGGGCTTTATATCTCATTATTTTCTGAAAATTAGAGTTTTGTACATATGTATGTAAGTTGAAAAACCAACAAGCAAATATTGCTATTAAAAAAAATTTGGAGAATATATCAAGTGAATGGAGCTTCGCTCTACTTTATGGTCAAGTAAATATATTTTACAGGTCATCATCATTTGACTTGGTCGCTTTTGCTCTTTTTCCATCGATTTTTTTATCTGTTTGGAGATGCCTTCAGATAATACAGCATTGCTTCTAAAAAAGGAAAAGTATACTCTCAATACAATACAATTTCCAGATATTTTCAAAATACTTCATAAAATGCTTGACATTTATTGTTCTTTGATCGATTAAAAATATGTTGTTTAAAAATGTGTGTGATCCTTTGACTTCTCCGGCACTTTCTAAGCCAAAAAGAAAAATACAACTCGAAATTCTGTTAGAAAGCCTTCTTTAGTTAGAACCATCTATTTTTTATTTTGTATACTTATACTGGGAAACATAATAAAAAAAGTATGCACGCATACGAAAAAGTTTATGTCTATTTATGTCATTACGGTCTTACTTACTTTGAAACTGAAAGTTTCGCTTCAACGCACTGTAGATTGAACGAAATGTAACGTTGGATCGTATGTAATACAAATCATACCTACAAATTTCACAGAGGTTTATTGAAGCGTTTGGAGAATACAAAATGTAGAATGCTTTAATATAAACAGCGAAACGAGATCCAACGTCATTTGGTTTTTTTTACGTATATATACCTTATGTACACGCTATACATAGCTAATATGCACTTAGAGTTCGAAATTGTACATGCTTTGGCTTTGCAAACGTTTGTTACAGTGTGAGATCCGATTCTTCTTCCTTGACTTGGTCGCTTTTGCTCTTCTTCATTTGCTGCAGCTTTAGAAAATTGTAAAGAAATTCCAATTCATATTTTGTTGATGAACAGCTGTCGCATGTATTTTGTATTTTCTCAGATGGTTTGAATTTGTTGCTTTTTTACAAAGGCCTGTTGAATTATTGAGAACGAATATGCGCTTATTCTCGAAAGCGGCACAATACATGTAAAGAAATTTATTCAAACATTCTCAATTGCATGAAATTTGTATTTGTAAGAAACTTTAATTCCATGTCGCAGATTCTTACTTTTACTGGAAAAGAAAGTTAGTTATGTAATCTGCTTTTGAGCGAGCAATCTATATATGCATTATTGAAGGGATATCGATGTTTGAGATTCAGTAAAATTTCTAAGCGGCCTTTCGGGACCTAAATGACAAGTTTTCTAATTGACATTTAGAAATTGCAAGATATCTAAAATTTAACCAAAAAGCTAGACGTACCCTAAGTAAAACAAAAAGCAAAGAATTACTAAAAAAATATGTTTTTGTTTGTAGCAAAATCCTTTGAATCAAAAGTACCCTACATTTCGCAGCCAATATATGATCTTAAACAGAATGGTGATGTGAAATTTGGACCAGGCACCAGATCAGCATCGTTGGGATTCTCCCTTTTGTGGAATTCCCACAGTGGCAGAAGGTGAAATTTGGTCCAGTATTTCTTAATCGATTGAGTATCGAACGTTTTAAAATGGTTGCCCACATACACGCCCAGGACGGATAAAAAACCCAACCATCCTAGAAGAACATCGGCAGAGATCTTTTCTTGAAATTTGGTACACTGGCGGGATAGGACACGAAACGTAATTGACGCATTACATTGCTAAGAAGATAGCTCGCGCCATTGTTGACACACGCTCGGCTCTACATCCTATAGAAACTCCTAAACAATTAGCCGACTTGGTAGCCAGCTGCCTGCATGAAACTCATTTTCGTTTAGATAAATTGCAGCGACCCACACATGTGGCCACTAAAACGTTTCAAGCTTTACGTATGTTCGTTAACAATGAGTTAAATGAAATTAACTACGGCATGGTCCTGGCAAATGATTATAGTCAAACGTCGTCTTTACGGGAATGTCACTGACGGCTTAGTAAATCCAGTAGCAGTAAAGCTGTTGTGGAGTGCCGCGCAAACGGTTGCGAATTTGCCCATTTTTAGCGCATTGTATCTGGTTGAAGCGAACTTTCGAGATAAGAACAACAAACGTACAAAGTGAGTAGAGAAATTCAAATTTTCATTTATATGTTGTCTCCTTGTTTTTTATTTTTATAGATTGCTTTTTTTTCAAAAATTTCAGTTTTTCCTTGTTTTACTTATTTCCGAATTCTTTGTTTTTTTTTCTGATGAATTTTTCAAGTATATCCTCAAAATCATCCTTTGATCGCAACCAAAAGCCACAATACGATCGCTCAGATTCGCTGCTGGCGGGTTCTTTGCGTACCGTTATCATACCACAAACAATGGAGGTGTTTCTTAAATTGGCGCAGAGGAGTACAGATAAATATATAGAGACTTGCAGTATATTGGCCGGTCGTCTATGTTACTCTATGCAGTGTAAAGCTGCTAAGAATAACGAAGCTCAAATGCTTCAATTTCCGCACTGTTAGATTATTGCGAAATATATCTGGCACAATAAACTTAATGCAATTAAAGCATATTTTTGTGAGAAAAGCATTAAAAGGTCATCGCTCTTATATGCGGTTTGCAGATCCTTCTAGCCGTGACAAATTTCGCATTGAAAACCAACTACTTGCGAGGGCACATACTTGCGTTCTATTCTATTAGTGTGACAAAAGCTTTAATATGATATTTTCTATCTGCATAAAGTGTATACATAATGTATAAATAAAAATTCCGTACAACTGGGAATGTTTGAATACGTTTGTTTACAATTCTTGATAATTTCGCATGCATTGTTGTCTACATTCTTGGCATACACCATATTCGGAATACGATTAAGCAAGTCCGTCTGTCCGTCCATCTCTAATAAACGATATCAGTAAGAAGTTGTAGTACGCTTACACCACATTCAACGAATTCTGCGAGTACATCATCTTTAAAGCACCATTAAATAGAAAAATAGAAAAAAAAGAAATTATTTGTGAAAAAAAGCAAAGCGTATAATAACCAGAGTAAAATTGGTTAAACTACATTTCTTATTTGATCGAAGAAGTAAAAACAAATGAATCGAAAAGAGGACTTGTTCTGAGACAAATTTTAAACATTACGCAACTTCCATAGCATAGAATGCAGAATATACAAATAATGTAATGGACGCAGTTACGAAAAAATTGACGAAGTTTGCTTTCAATATAAAAAATTTGAAAAAAAATTTAAAACATTTAAATTTTATTCACATTACTTAAGTTTAACCGCGGCTCTAAGTTTTGCCGAACGACTGCGACTATTGTGCTTTATCTCTTCTTCGCCTGGTAAAATAACATGTCTATGTAGTTGTTTCCAATTACTCGAATTAATTGATTGCATTATCCCCTCATCGTGGACGACATCATACCCGCAATACTTTAAAGGTACTGGATTAGCTAAGCCGTCAATGACATTTCCGTAAAGATGACGTTTAACTATGGTATCTTCCAGCGAATGGAAAGTGAGAGCTACTAATCGACCTTGCGGACGTAGATAATCATTTGCCAGGACCATGCCGTAGTTAACTTCATTTAACTCATTGTTAACGAAAATACGTAAAGCTTGAAACGTTTTAGTGGCCACATGTGTGGGTCGCTGTAATTTATCTAAACGAAAAGGAGTTTCATGCAGGCAATTGGCTACCAAGTCGGCTAATTGTTTAGTAGTTTCTATAGGATGTAGAGCCGAGCGTGTGTCAACAATGGCGCGAGCTATCTTCTTAGCAGCTTTTTCTTCGCCATATATGCGTAGGATTTTCACCAGATCTAGTTCATCAGCACGAGCCAAGACATCAGCTGCCGTCACTTGATCATTATTCATGCCTGGAGCACAATCCATACGCATATCCAAAGGACCGTTTTTCGAAACTGAAAAACCACGTTCAGGTTCATCGAATTGCATAGATGAACATCCGAAATCGAAAAGTATACCATCCACGCTGCGACGTATCACGTGCTGTTCTTTCAGAAGATGAGGCATGTCCGAAAATCTTCCAAGTAAAGGGGTCAAACGTCCTTCATACTCTTTGCTCATTTGTTGAGCTAATTTATAAGCCACCGGGTCACGATCTAAGGCATAAACTTTTATATCTTTACAGCTGTCAAGCAATTTTTTGCAATGACCGCCTGCGCCAAAAGTCATATCAATGTAGATTTTTTGTGGTCCAGGATTTAGATAGCTAATGGCCTCTGCACATAAAACAGGTATATGGGAAGGGTTCGATTCAAAGCCAACATTCGAAGAGTAACATTTTGCCAATATTGGTCTTGAACATTTTAATACAGTTTTGTTGAAAATCATTTCCCCGAGCCTTCGTTGAGATATTGTAGAAAGTCCGATGATAACACTTGACTGCATTGTTCAACACTCAAACCAGTAGCTGTGGAATCGCGTAGACGTACGTATTTCTTACCGTATATGTTGTTAGCCAATCTTTCCAACGAGTCGATTTTTGTAGTTATTTTACTGGTTTCCTCAGTAGTCAAACTAGCCGGATTAGTTAAGATATTTATATGTTTACGTATCTGCTCACCTAGATCTCTATTTGGTTTCGTTTTATCAACAGGCCACTTTTCGAGAACTTTAAGAAATCGTTGATATTGACTCGACATATTAGAAGGAAATGCTCGCCAAAAAGTTCATGAATCTTTTTGATTTTATAACAATTCTTTAAATAAAACAAATATATGCTAAAAAAAGTTTCGTAATATTTAGCGATTTGGTGTTGTCATATCCGTCATCCGTCGATTTGGTGTTGCCAGTGCACAGTGATGGCAATTACTACACTACAAATATCATTGGTATTAGTCATAATAATTATAAAATGTGACAGCATTCAGCATCATTTATGGTTTCCATTTTTTCACGTTTGCACAACAGCTGCTACATACGCTCACTTATAATTGTCAAATGAAGTGAAAGCTAAATGGCCCAAGTTTTCAGTCGACATGAATGATAGCAACGAAAGTAACGCGAATGTCTTATGTGTAGCAAAATTGAAACGTCTATCAACAACCGCCCTCGCAGCGAACGAGAACTAACTTCCAGAGAAGTGATTACCCTCTGATTTTTTACATTTTACACGCCTGGCAGCAAAATATAGGTAAGTATTGGAATCAGTGCCATAGCCACTAGTAGATTTTGGTTTCTGCAATGGTTGATTGTTGGAATATAATCCGCTTACCAAAAATGTTGCATGCACAGTTTGAAAGGCGGTCGAATTACATTACGTGTTGATAAAGTGGTGAGGTAAGCAGATCAGCAAAAGCTTCTCTTTTTCACACAGTGATTTAGTAATCATATTTGCAAATTTTTACGATATCCCCTTCCCATTGACGACACTTTCGAAAATTTCTGTCTTTTTTATTATGTGTTTGCAAAAATTTTGATCAGTGGCTTCTACAGGTAAAAATGATTTTAAAAAATGGGAAATACCGGTGTACATAATGATTGAATTCGATAGTTTTGACTTTCTTCTAAATAAAATAACAATTCTTAATTTAATATTATTGATTTATTCAGCCTAATCCGGCAACCAAATTTGAGTTGAAAATGAATTACTGCGTTCTTTTATATAACTTTATAAACAAATACGTAAATACTGTTTAATGCAAACAAAATATATAGTAGCGTTGATTTATTACAAATAGTAAATTTTTAAACACTCTAAGAAATTCTTTCGAAACATCATTCCGCTTCTCATTCAGCAAAATTGTTTAAGTTTAATAGAATTGTTTAGGTATTTTTTTACCACCTTTTCTTATTTAGCAGAATTGTTTAGGTATTTTTCCACCAGTTGTTGAAAGCAACTATGTTCTCTCCCTCTATTCACAACACATGGTACTTTTCTTTTATAAACCGTGTAAAGGAAAAAACCAGCTAACGGCTTTTAGCAAAAAATCTAAACCGTTTCACAAGTGCAGAAAGAAGTTTCACAATGTGAAATAAGGCGAAAAAAAATTAAAAAAAGGAATTAAAAAGTTTAAAAATTTGAAAAAGTTTGTGAAAAATTTATATAAAACTAAATTAAAAAAAAACCAAAGAATTATAAAATTATGAAAAAAATTTAGTCTCTAAGAAAAGTTTATAGAAAAAAAAGTTTATTAGGACATATATCATTTAATAAGTTAGATAAGTGTAAGGAATTTAATAACAAAAGTTGAATAAATATAAATAATTCAAACAAATAAAAGTTTATAGAATAAGTATAAAAAAGTGTAACTTCAAGTAATATAAGAGCATTGGCGATAAGTGCATTTATTTATAATTATTTCATTTTTTGCCAAGGAGACCCACCTGAGACTCACATAGTTTTCCTGGGAATCTCCTTGGTGTCTTCTTATTTGCTAGTAATTATTAGCATTAACATACGATCACTTTTCAACTATTTCACTGCAAGATAAAATATTTTTCAAATATTTATATATTCATTGGAACTAATTTTCTTTTTTAAATTAAAATAATGAATGCGCGAATAAATAAATGAATGAACAAATGAGTGAATGGGAGAATGAGTGAATGAGTGGATAAAATAAGTATAGTGAACACCACCTCAACTGATGGTTTACTTTTTCGCGATAATACCAGCGATATGGGTATTAAATGGAAGGACCAGGAACGTAGAATGCGACAAGTTAAGTGTGTTATACATTTTTACCACATTGCTACCAATATGTATATATTGACAACTCATATTGGCGGCATTACAACAATAAGTATATGTGCCGCCATATTAATTTCAACGCTTTTACGTGCTAACGCGTCGAAATATATAAAATTCTTCCGAAATTTAAAAAATGAAAATGCATTCTATCGTAATAATTTTGTTTTTTTTTTTTTAACTATGACGTTATTTACATTGATGTCATTTATAATGCCTTTTTGAAGAGGCATTAATTTAAAGTTTTATAGCACTTCGATCATCTGAAGTTTACTTTGCTTTTCTTAAACTCTATGTTGGACAAGAATACAATTTTTTTTCTTTATTTGTCACGTAAAGGATACATATATATTGTATAAAAGATATGAAAATAGGTTGCTTCTGTTATCCTTACCGTCACTCGAGAAACGTAGATTTGTTCTTGGGGTTTCCTTCGTAATCAAATTGATAAATGGTACAATTGACTCGCATTACTTCGTGAGATAGGCTTTAATGTCCCTAACCGCTTCTCTAGGCACTTAATCTGGATAAAGCTTAGTTAATGCAAATATAATTAGGAACAGTTTAACCCGCTCAGAGTTGTTTGCAAGGACGTCTATCACTTATTCTCATTAACGGACTCTTTAAAGTCTATTAAAGCAACGTTGCTTAATACGCGCGATTTACCTATGTCGTACTTGAACTAAATTTTAACTTTAAAAAGTGATTATGAGTCGTAAATTAATTGTATTATCGGTTGCCAAGCTTAGGCATGTTTGCGATGGCATAGGGTTTTACTTGCAATTTGGTCCTGTACCGGTTGTGGGTGTGGCTCTATACTAGTTGTGTACATGCTTTTTTCTTTTTTTTTCTTATTTGTTTTATTGTGCTTTTGTTTCGTCTATATATAATAAAAAATAGAAAACAAAAAAAACATCTGACTTTTTATTCAGTAGTTTCCCAAACCTTTTGAAGTGAGTGGTTATTTCAAAAATAATAAGTAATAGACAACAATAAGGCATAATGGCCCCGGGGCCGCCAGACAAAAACTCGAATAGATTTCATCTATTAATTGATACATCCCCCAAATTAGCCCTTTGCTATAAAAAAAGCTCTAGATAGCATTACAACATACATCGACTCCATCTCGATTCTACGCGATGGGAATTTACTGGTCCTCGCTGGGAACCCGCGCGCAACCGAAAAACTCATAGAGGCCAAATCTTTAGCTAATCTATGTGCTATTTCAGCTAAACTACATGAGAAACTTAACTCGGTTCGAGGCGTAACTTATGCCCCTTGCTTAAAGCATGTGCCGGAAGATGAAATTGTTCGCGAAATGGGCATTCAAGGAGTGACTGAAGCATATAAATTAACCAAACTGAATGATGACGGAAAAACACGCTCTCCTACAGGAAGGATTATTTTAACTTTTGATCGCTATCGATTACCGCGAACAGTTGATGTGGCGTGGTATAAATGTAAAGTAGAACTATACATCCCAAATCCTATGAGGTGTAAAACTGAAAGCTGTACCCGTAGTTTCTGCATAAATTGCAATGATCAACACTCAGCTTTAGACAAACAATGCCCACGTTTTGTACAGATGCGTGAAATATTAAAAATCAAAACAGAAAATTACTGTAGCATGGGCGAAGCGCGACGCACATACCGGGAAAGAAATCCATCTGTAGCCCATGGAATTGGCAAAAGTAATACCTATGCTGCTGTTGCCTCACAAATCGAGCCTAGTAAGACTTTAACTGCAACTGCTTCCAATGAAAAACCTGTTCCACCATTAACCAAAAATTATATTGCGAAACCAGTTACATCACTTGCCAAAGATAATATTGAAAAAACCAAAGCAACTGCAAATATTGAAAAAATCAAAACAACAACAAATATGCTAAAATCTAATATACCAAATTCTCCAGAATCTCCAGCTCTCAACTTTACTCAACATATAACAAGTGGTAATGAATCCATTCTTTCATCCATTAATCAACCTTCGAAAACCAAAGCAACTGCAAATATTGAAAAAATTAAAACAACAACACATTTGCTAAAATCTAATATACCAAATTCTCCAGAATCTCCAGATCTCAACTTTACTCAACAAATCACAAGTGTTAATGAATCCATTCTTTCATCCATTAATCAACCTTCAATTTCAAATTATTCACGTGCGCCAACCCGTTGCGCTCTAAATGTACCAAATCATCTAAATACAGATTATTCTGCTAGTAAGAATAAATCATTCACGAAAAATTCCTATAGCGACCTTCTCGACGGAGACGCTGACATGTCAACTTAACCCTCCCTCCACTCTGCTTACATGTCATTACAATTAAATAAAGTTTTTAAAATTCTACAATGGAACATTAAGGGACTTATTAATAATTTTGATGAACTCCGTACACTCATAAGTGATTTTAATCCAACCTTTTTATCGCTTCAAGAAACCCATTGTAGAAGCTCTTTTAATCCTATTCCACCCAAATCATATACTGGATATTTCACGAATGCTAATCAAAACTCATATTCCAAACAAGGAGTAGGTATTTTTATAAAATCAAGTATACCTCACAAACGCATAAATTTAAACTCAAATATACAAGCCGTGGCGATACAAATAATGTTAAATATAAAATTTACAGTGCTTTCGCTCTATATTCCATCTTCGCAATCGTTTTCTCAGCAAGAACTCTACAGCTTATTCTCCGAAATCCTATTTCTTTGTTTAGTATATATATGTTTATAAATATGTGTCTGTATTTTAAATTTTATTTACAACTATATGCCGCTTCTTAATCTAAATTTATAGATACATATATAAATACATATCCTTAGTTATTAGTTGAAAACTATTATGTTCAGCTCTTACCTTGTATAAATTTTTATTTTACATGATGGATTGTTAATAAATAAGTCTAGTCTATGATAAAACTTTGCGAAGTAAGATGGTTTTGTATTAATTAATTCCAGATCGAAAGCATATACAATCTTATTAAACAGTCTTAAGCAGACATTGTGTCAAGTTCTTATATAAGCGAACCAAGTAATAATCATTCCCTGCTCCATCACGTGCTGATCCATCGCTGCGTAAAACAGTTCATACGCTTGATCGAAC